TGAAGCACTTTGAAATGCCTTGCTGCTGAAATGTGCTATACAAATAAAATTTGATTGATTGATTGATTGAACCATTGGAAACTCCATCTCATGTTTATAAACCCCAGCATGTCCATGTGCTAGGCATAGATTACAGCATAGTAAAGCAGACATTAGGATGCAGTAATCAGCAATTTAAAACATTTGACTCTTCATTTATTTAGAGACAAGAAAATGTGAAGTGTTTTGTTCTGATGGTTTCTGGTCTAGAAAGATTTACTGAACAAAAACTAGTGAATGAGTAAAAATAACTGAAGGCTTTAACTCTCCTGAACTCTTCCAGTTTTAAAATTGAATAAAATACAAAGGTAACATATTAAAATGTTACAAAGGTAACACTTTAATATGTTACAAATTGAATAAATTAAAATTTATTCAATTTTAATGTGATAGGCCAACACAAAGTAGTGCATAATATTCTAAAAAGTGTGATGTGTATTCAGTCCTCTTAACTCAGGTACCCGGAATTAAATTCTGTGGAACCACTTCAGTACACAGTCCAGATGAGTGTGATTTAATCTGACTATATATCCAAGCTGTTCTGTGAGGGGACACCAGAGGTCTGATAAAGAAAACCGCAAAACACTATATGTAGAGGAAAACAGTACATTACAGTGTGAACATAAAGAAACAACCGTAGACATACAGCTGGTAGAAACACATCCAGAAAAGACTATTACATTCAATAAAGTACTTTGAACATATAAACCTTTTGCACCTCAGTCTATGACTCCAAACAGAAATGTTTATACTTCATTTCATCATAGTCGTCAAACCCATTTTCCTTTGTAAATTGTTGTTATGCCTATGTTATGTCATAGAACCTCTCTCCACAGATCCCCTCAGGTATGTTGTAGTAATGTTCTGATTATTGTGATGTCATTTGTTTTCTGTCCAGACAGATAATATCGAGCAGGCAGCTGAGGACCCTGGTCAGGAGGAGGTGGTGCAACAGTGCATGGCCAACCAGGGCTGGCTGGAGAAGCTTTTTAGCTCCTTTGTTGAACTGCTCACCTTTGGTGCCAAGGCATGAAGATCAGAGCCTCTGAACTCCTGCACATACACACAGTATCAAGTAGCCGAATATATCTGGAATCAGTAACGCGAATGAATCCCACTACACAAACTGAGCAGCTGGTGTCAGTTTGTTTGTGGTACATGTTTTGTTGTAAAGTCCATCTTAAAGTACCTCTTGAGTTCAAAGTTTGTATCGACAAATAGAAGATAATGAATTTTGTGGATATGGTGGATTATCCCCAAAATTCTACTGATGGAAGTCACGTGAGCAGCGTGATAAGATATGCTGTTTGTAAGGACATGTTAATAGCTGTGGTTTGTATAATTTATACAGTGACATTTTTAAAAATGACCGCCCCGAGCTGTGGGTTGTTTGTTCTTATTTTTTGAAGAATATTTTCAAAGGATGTATATAAATGAGTCACCCTGCTTTATTGTACCATTCAACCCGCGGTTTTCAAACTGGGGATGTATGAGGTAAAATTAGGTCTTGGTGCACTATATGATGTTTCTACAATCTTCAGCAAAGATAAAAGAATAAATAGCTGTTTGAAACAACATAAAATGTATTCTTCAAACCATGATTTTTTTTAAATGCAGTTTACTGCTACAAGTAATGAAGGAATGAAAAAATAAATATGCCTTTCTCTAAAGAAATGTGAGGTGAAAAGTTCCTTCAGCAGCCTAAATGTCAGTGTTTTAATGTTGGTCATTTTTATCTCTTTCTTGTTAATTGATATTTCCTATTGTTCTGCCTCTCCTGAAGACTCTTTCAGTGTGTAAATACTGTACATTTTGAAGCTGGCAGTCGCTCTTCTGTACATGAAATTCCTGTATTTGACAGAAGGGAAATAAAACTGATCAAAATGACAAACGTGATGAAAAATAAACAGCACTGTGTTCAAGTTTTTAACATTTCCTTGAGAGAATGTGAGTATAAAACATTCATATCCTCCACTTATCAACCGAATGTCACAGTCATGCACAGTAGAGCTCATTTGCCAACAGAAAGGAAGTCAAAATTGGAATTCAATCCAAGATGGCCAACTTCCTGTTTCATGTAGGATACAGGTGCATGAGACTTTTCTGTAGGTCTTGGGGTACCAAATTTCATGCATCTATGATGAAGTAATGTCAACACGGTTGGTCATTTTGCTGGTACACTCGAAGCATTTAGACATTGTCTTTAGAGGTTGGAGACATTCCAGAACTTCAGGTTAGACTGATTTATTCCTCACCACTACTTCACTGCCAGTGGTGCAGGTGGACTGCACAAGGTGGATGGAATATTGAAGAAATCCAAACTCCTTAAATTCAGTGCAAATAAACAATTAAAATACTTTAAACTTGGACACAGATGGTTTAAGATCAGGACAGTGATCTTAAACACACATGAGATCTGGTTTTAGAGTGGATAAAGCAGGCTAACATGAAGCTTCCTGTAAGGTCCTGGGATCAATCCTGCTGATCTCAGAGCCATGGGACCTTAAGTTCTATGGACTGCAGTAGCTAACTTTGATTAAAAAAATAGGGTTTTTAACAAACTTGTTAAAACCGTCAATATGTCATGGCGATATAACAAAGATATTGTATTAAAAAATTGAGCTCCTCTGCCTCCTCACATGCCCAGCGATAACGGCAGATGAACAGTTCTCCGGCAACTGTATGTGTTTGTTTGCTATTAGCAAACTTGCAATCTTGAGCACTGTGTGCATTAGCATGATTGATAGCACAAAGACCCACCAAGACGTTTGCTCATGGTGCTGATTGGTTGTTTCTGAAGAAAAGCACTGTTCTACTCTCCCTGTAGTAGGACCACAGAGAGGGGGGAGAGGAGCACATTTTTTCCAGAATATCTGTCTTATGGTGTACTGTCACAACAGAGTAACGGTTTTTAAAAAATATGTAAAAAAAAAAAAAAAAAAAAAGAAAGAAAGAAAATAAGCTATTTCGCACAAGTTTAAAAACTTTGGTTGAGAAAACCATCTACCATATTTTCCGCACTATAAGGAGCACCTTCAATGAATGGCCTATTTTAAAACTTTTTTCATAAATAAGGTGCATAAAATAGATGCTATAGTTAGGGGGACGCAATTTGCTCCGTACTCTATAAATGTGCATGTATAATAATAAAGAAGTGGTCCCCGAGTACTTTATATAGTAGGCTGCCCCAGTCATTGTTTCACTCACGGTGTTGGTGTTGCGATATTGTGCCCGGATGAATGTCTAAAGCCACTTTGTTGACATAAAGAATGTCAACAAAAGTAAAGAACATAAATAATGACATAAAAAATGTCAACAAAACAGTCCGACTCCGGTCGGCGAGGAGAGCTTTCCGCGACCGGGCCGTGTCGTGGCAGGACTATGGTCACCCTTCTCTGTTCGTGCACATCATGTTCGTGGAGAACGTGGTGCTAAATGACCTGCAGATGACCTGATTCTAGGCGGTCGGTAGGTAGATACATAGACATTAATATGTAGATGCCTCATGGAGCGGGTTGGCCCGTTGCAGTGCTACGTAATCGCGTCCGCCATATTGAATGTGGCATCTCTGCCACTAAGCTAATACAAATGAATGGACTGAACTTCAGAAAATGCCATTCCACAAAGTATTTTTAGCTAATGTTCGTCATCGACCCACTCACATATAAACGTGAATATATTTGGAAATTAAACAATCACCAAAGACAACATTTATGACTTTTCATTATATTTTAATTGTAATTTCTGAATAAAGAAAATAACTGTGAACCTATAATACAATTGATTTTGATAAATCGTTTTTATATATACAGTAATCATTTATGAACATATGTACGTACACACACAGACGTCAATATATTAAATAAT